TAATATCAAATGATGGCATTTTGTTTTCCAATAGTGAAGCCTATGAGAATAATAATTGATTCCCAATGGGTTGATCATGGCTTTTAAAGTAATTATTGTAGTTGGTGCAGAACCAAGGAGGAAAATTCAGGGTGTTTACACAGTTAGGAAACAGCCCAATGTGATCAGATGAAGCATTTTGGCAATTTGAATTTCCATTCTGTAAAGAAGGAGTTTCTGCTTTTATGAATCTTATAGTTGGTTTCTCAAATCTTTTGCAAAAAAATAGTATAAGTACTGAATATGGAATCAGCAAATTAAAACTATGCAACATTATTTTTACTATAAATATTATTTTTATTCCAAACTTGAACACCAAATAGAATGGACTTTTGTATTACTTAGTAGGATAGACATCAAGAATTAGACATGAAACTGCAATTCTCTTTTATCTAGCTAGTTATTTTTTAAGCATATAAGATTCACCAATTGTTTTCAAAGCTGTTGTGTTTGGCATTCCTTCTGTTCTCTAAATTTAGTTAAAAAATATTTTTGGTGTCCCTCTTTGTCTTCCCTCCTCCGTATCCCCTCCTTTCCTTCCTTTCTTCCATATTCTTCTCCTTCTTTTCGTCCCTCTTCCCCTTCCTTTGGAGAAAAAGAAAACAAAGCCCTTGGAACAAATAAACATAATTAAGCAAAAGGACAGAATTAATAGAATGCTTTGAGTTACAAGCAGGAACTTAAATGATCAATACATAGAAAACAGATTGTTAGCAGTAAAGTGGCAGGAGAGGTCTTACGGCAAATACTGCCAAAATTTTTACCACTCTTCAATTTTTAATATATCGTATCTATTTAAAATAAGCATTGATATCTTGAAGTACATGAGCATTACTTTTGGACTGCTATTTTCATTTCATTGTTAATTTTTTTTCCATAAACTATTGTCTTTTAAACATTAGGTCAGTGTTTAAAAACATGATTTTATATCACATTGTTTCTGTGAATTAAAAAAGGTGTCATTAAAAGTAACATGAATGCCACCAAGCACTTTCTAAAATTGTGGGGAATTGTAAAATCAACCATGATGATATGGTATTGTTGCTCTAGGAAGCTTAAACATCATGGTCTTAATATCAATACTAATAGTAATCACAATATATGTACAAATAAAATAGATCTAAAATTAGAAAGTTATATCTGAGGAACAATGGAATGAAGTGGTGCTTGGACATTTTTTGTTTTTGTATGTGATAGCTAAATTAGAACTTTGGACGTCAGGAGACTTAGTACTTTCTAGTAAATGTTAACTGGGGAGAGAAGGGAAGACTCAGAATGATAACATATTCGATGTGGATAGGTTAACTTCATAGTGCAAATGACAATTCATTTACTCCTCATCTAGTAGGATCTTTCTTATGTCCTTTCATAGATTAAATGCCCAGTATTGTACATCAGCATTTAAAGCATACGTATGCTTGCTGAAAAATCTTCCACATGGGGATCCACTCAACATGTTGGGGACCTTCTAGATTTCTTGGCATAGAAAAAGCCTACTCACACCCACATATGCATCTATTTTTGTTGTCCTTTAGGTTTCTACAACTTTAATTCTTTGGAGATTGTGGCCAAGGTATACAGCTATGCTGAATCACTGAAGATGAGCCTTTGCTTTAGGGAGAATCTTGGTCCTGTATCTTTTCCCCAAATGAAAATCTAGTCTCCTCCTATTCAATTTTGGTCCCATTTAATTGTTCGGTTGAAGTGTTTCTCTAGGTTTTGTGTATACTGATGGGCCAGCTCTATGGACTGTAATCTTTCAGTCTGAATATAAGACCTTCATCTACTAGATTTTTCTTGGGTCGATAGGACACAGTAATATGTGGTTCTGCAATATTCTGGGTGCTTGATGCATTCAGCCTAATACCATCTACAGTCAGCAACATCTGGAAGATCTCAGTATTTATGGGGAATCCCTGTCTGATAGGGCCTTTATACTGGATATCCTGAACGATAGTGGCAAACATCTTTGGCAAGCATATGGCTCTTTGTATTATTACTAGCTTGATACTAATAATGAGAATATTGTTGAGTTAATGTTGTTAATCTATGATGGAATCTTGTTGTAAAGTTTTTGCCATATGTGATTACTGTCTTTGTTGGAGAGGAACCTTTAAAAGGTGGCATTTTGCTTTACTCCCATAATGAAATGGTTTTTTTGTTTTTTTTGGTTTTTGTGCTAGGCAGTGGGGTTAAATGACTTGCCCATGGTCACACAGCTAGCAAGTGCCAAGTGTCTGAGGCTGGATTTGAACTCAGGTCCTCCTGAAGCCAGGGCCAGTGCTCTATCCACTGCGCCACCTAGCTGCCCCATGAAATGCTTTTTTATGGTTGATCAGTTAAACAGTGCTCTCTTCCATACCCCGCTATAAGATGTCTTCTAAAGCTATTAGCTTGCTGTGTACTATTCTCATGCTTTCATCAAAGATGTCCTCAAAATAGGTGTACAATAATCTTAAACGGATTTTGTAGACATAGGAAAGTCTTAGTTGCATCTTTTTTGAGGGTCAATAATTAAGGTCAGTGGTTTTTTCCAAACAGTTTAGTAATTTCTCATCTTCCGATAGCTTAAAAAGTGTTACAACAAAATACAGTGTTATCAGAATTGTCACTTTTATATAGAGTAATTTTCTGCAGTTGATCTTCCTATTCTCCTTATTTGACACATTGGGGATTGGCGAGGCGATGACCACCATGTCCAAGTACAGTGGTTTAGGTATCAGTGATAAAGAAATAATCTTGTTGCAGAAATGTTGATAGCTTTATATTCTTCAACGTGCTGGGCATACTCTCTCTTACTTGGTCCTTTTGCCAAGCTTTCTTTTGTGAACTTACTTTTTCTCTTACTCTTTTTGCTGTTTTGTGAGGTGGTGCTATTTAAAATCTTTTTCCCTCTAAACTTTAAGATTTCCTTCCTTCCTCCTTCTCTCCTTCCCTTCCTCTATTTCTTCTTTCCTTCCTTCAGTGGTTGTCTTATCTACTTGGCAAGGAAATTAAGTGTTTGTTGGCTGAATTTTTTAGTCATTGTAGTGATTGATTCTAAATTTAATTTTGTGTGTTCTAACCGTTTCCCATTTTTCATTGTCAGTTTTATTTAAATACATTAGGTTCCAGCTCTTTTAATTATATACCATAGTTATTTAAAATATTTATTGCTGTATTTTTTATCATCTTTATTTCCCACTATATCTCTCCTCCATGCCCACCCATGCCTTATAACAAAGAATACAAAGGGGAAAAATATTTTCAGCAAAATTAAACATGTCAATATCCATAGTGTTCTCACATGTGTCATTCCTTCTGCAAAGAACAGAAGGAGGCATCTTCTTGTGTTCATATTTTTTCTTGGGGAGAAGGGGTAGTTTAGACACGATAATTTTGGCAGCATTCAGTTTTGATCATTTTGTCCATTTATATTGTTGTCATTGTGTATTCACAATATTTTTTCTTAACTTTGTATTAATTCCTGCAAGTCTTTCTATGCTTCTCTGTATTAATGATATTCAGCATAGCAGTTCCCTTACTGTTGTTACATTAATTTTGTTCTGCAAAAAGTTTTCAATTTCATGCAATTGAAATAATCTTTTTGTTAAAAATTGATGCCAAGCCTCCCTGTTTTCATCCACCCCTCAACCGCACCCCCATGCCAAAGCTGTGAAAGGTACATATTAACTACTTTTTTTTCCCTCTTGAAAGAGATAAAGAAGAAAATAACTCGATGAGGTTCAACGAGTGCATGCCAAACTAATGAAAATGACAATACTATGGAAATTAATTTCTACATTTTATAGTGTTATACAAACCAAGCTACCAGAATGTTCTTTATATAGCGGGACAAAATTTTATCAGTTTGTTTAGAGAAATCACAGGCCCAAGTTTTTCACTGTTACAAGAAGCTTAATGTTTTGTTACAGCAAATACCTCTTAATAATAGTTCATGTTTATTCTGAGCTCTATAAGTCACATAATTTATACACATTCTTCGAAAAAAAGGACTTATTTTGTTAAGTGTAATTTTGATTTTTTTTTACATAAATGCAATATGTTGTTAGACCAGGTTACTTAATAGAAAAATTCATTTTTAAAAATTGTCAGTTTTTGTTATGTTTGTTTATGACTTCCTAAGATGAATTTATTTTGATACATTTTTGCCAAATCTTTTGTGGAAAGTTATGTAAAATTATACTAATAGTGAATTGGTTAACTTCATAGTAAATATCTGTTTATATCTTTTGGAATCACTGGTTTTTAAGAATACAGGTACTATTTTAATTATATATTGAGTCCACAGATTAAAGGTTTATTTAATATAAGAATGAGTATTTAGAATTTGAAGATGGGAGATATAAATTCAGATGGCCAAAAATTGATATTGAGGGTAAGGAAAACATGTATTGGGAAAGCAGAAAATATAGTTGAAAAGTATTTGTAATACCACAAAAATTGGGGGTTAGTGTCATATGTATAGGCCATCTGATCTTCCTGACTACATTAAATAAAAGTAATTGGATCTCTTGATTCTGGATCCTTTATCTTCTAAGATTATTTCTTAGCTAATTTCCATTTCTAAGATTTAAAAAACAAAATAAGCTCCTAAACCTCTGTTTTCCTTTTATTTCCATTACCCGGCAAATGTTCAGTCTTATGTTTGCACAAATACATTTCACTTTCTTGGTTCTTAGTACCGTCAGCCAGAATTATATTTTAAGGTGATGGGTGCATGGATATTATTATTCAGTTTGTATTACAGAGAAGTGAACAGGTGAATTTTACATAAAAGAGCCCAAGATAATACTGTAGGGAATTTGTGTGAAAAATTGGACTGTAACTCCTCCTTTGGATCAACTAAATTTAAGAAAAAACTCAGTTTAGTTCTCATTGTTTGCTTTTGTTTAAAAAAAAAATAGTGGTGTTTTGCTGAAGTGTACTATCTTTTTCTCCTTCCTTACTGTTTCCAACAGGTCGTCTGGAATGGACACAAGTTCAGTGGGAGGATTAGAATTGACGGAACAGACTCCTGTTTTATTAGGGACTACAGCCATGGCAACTAGTCTCACAAATGTAGGAAATTCATTTGGAGGTCCAACTAATTCTTTAGTTTCTAGATCTAATAAGTTTCCGAACACATCAGTAGAAGATGATGATGATGTTGTCTTTATTGAACCAATACAACCCCCACCAACTGCTGCGCCAGTGGTATCTGATCAAAGAAACATCACTTTTCCATCATCAAAAAATGAAGAGCAACAAGGAAATGATTCTAAACTTTGTTCCTCAAAAGATTTGACTTCTCAAAAGGGAAGTGTAAGTGAGACAATTATCATTGATGATGAAGAGGACATTGAAACAAATCAAGGGCAAGAGAAAAATGCTTCCAGTTTTATTGAACGGAGACTTCCTGAGACTAAAAACAGAACCAATGATTTGGATTTCTCAGCTTCCAGTTTTTCAAGAAGTAAGGTAAATGCAGGAATGGGTAGTAGTGGTATCACCACAGAACCAGACTCTGAAATTCAGATTGCTAATGTTACTACATTAGAAACAGGTGTAAGCTCAGTGAATGATGGCCAATTAGAAAATACTGATGGGCGTGATATGAACTTAATGATTACACATGTAACATCACTGCAGAATACCAACTTGGGAGATGTCTCTAACGGACTGCAGTCAAGTAATTTTGGTGTTAATATACAAACATACACCCCGTCTTTAACTTCACAGACCAAGACTGGAGTAGGACCTTTTAATCCTGGTAGAATGAATGTGGCAGGAGACGTTTTTCAGAATGGAGAATCTGCAACTCATCATAATCCTGGTAAGTGTTAACTTTAATGGCATGCATTTGTAGTTTCTTACATATAATTATGTTATTTGGCTTTCTCTTCTCTTAGTTTTGTGGGTTCTTTACTTTTAGATTAAAAGTGTTTTTGCCTTTACCAGAATTAGTGCTTTTTCTTTTCAGAGTATGAAACAGATTTGACCTTTTCAGTGACTTTTTCTTAAAATTCCATTTTAGTCAACAAGAATAAGTACAATACTAGCTGTTCTTCAAAAGTTTTATCAACTGTGTGTCAAAAAACATGTATTATCTAAAGTGTTTCACTTTAGAAATTGTAAATTCGACTCAACATAATACTTTGTCAATATTTTTGTTTTCATGTCCAAATAAAACAATGGTTGGATTAGAAATCTCGAAGGAAAAAGTACTTATTTTTGGCTATTGTGTTTATATTTGGCTCCTTGTTTTTACTAGTAGACTGAAAACTTAGTTTCTCCTTAATGTTTTATTGTTACTGCTTTTTGAAAGAAAGCAAATAATTTTTTTTGAAAGTTTGCTTCCAAATCAAATAGCTCCAAGTTTATATTCGAGGAAAATATAAGAAGAAAACTAATGATCGTCTTTTTTAGATTTTAGGAGTAAAAGAAGAGAGTAGTAACTAAGTCAGTGTTGATACTTTTTAGGTATCTTTGGTAGTTTTTTATAAATGACTATAATAAGGATTGTCAGCATGGATAACAATATTGTATTTAAGATGGTTGATTAGTATTTAGATAATTTTTTTGTCTTCCATTGCTTGAACTTTAATCTGAGCAAAGGCAACATTCAATTATTTTTACTAAGGAAGAGTTTAAAGGAAGTGCTTAGTTTGGAACTTTGTGTTAACTAAGGGATGGACTGGCCTGCCCTGGCCATTGAATATAAATCAGATAAATAAAATGGAAGCGAAATAGGAGAAATTAAACAAGTTAAGTAGTGAAGTCTGAGTGAAGAATCAGAATAATTACACTATTTTTCTGAATGAATTCCTAAACCATTGGACATATTCATGTTAACATTCGGATAGAAAATTTCCTTGTATTAAAATATGTCACAAATCTATGTCTTCTGATTAATATGGATAATTGAGGGGGGAAGTGGTATTTTGTAAAAATTATCTTGTTCCATGGGAGTCTTGGTATGGGAAGATGATTTTATGTTTGATATTTGACTAACCAAATTTGCGTACTTTAAAGTTGTTACATCTTTTCTACTGTGAAAAAGGAAGCAACTTAAGAAAACGTTTTTATTAAACAGGAGAAGAAATTTTTACTGATAGCTCAATTGTAATTATGAAATGTAGCTATAGTTTTTCCAGGGGTGTGTGGGTCATATGTACAAAACTATTTTTTCCCATTTAGTCAATTGGTCATGTACCATAATAACCAACTTAGCTCCACTTTCTGATGAAATAGAAAGGAAAGTGCAGACTTAATATTTTTCTCATTTTGTGTTACCTATTATTTCCTATTCTCTCCCTTTCCCACTTCTAGAGTCCCTAACTTATATTGGAAAATAAAAAAGAAGAAAAAAAGTACCTTAAAAATGACTGACTCATTAGCCAAGTCTGATGTGTAGTATTCCTTTCCCATACTTCCTCTTCAAGGAACAGAAGAAGATAGATTCTGAAGTTTCTTTTCTAAGTCACACTTGCTCATTATAATTTCACAGTATTCAGTTTTGACTCACTTGTTCTTTCCATTTACATTATTGTAGTGTTATATATTGTTTTCCTGATTCTCTTAACTTTTGCATCATTTCATAAAATAAATGACTATGTTGAATAATTAAAGCATGAAAATAATATTCTGTTAATGATAGAGTTGTAGAAAACTTACCCAATTTTCAGGTAAAGCAAAATTTTCAAGTAAAGTAAAGGAAGTAATATGAAGCTGGATTTATTTATTTTTCATCATGAGAAATATATTGAATCAGCCTCCCATGCAGGAAGACAAGGGTTCAAGCATTTCCTCTGTTACAAATTGGATGTGTAATCCTGGACTTGCAGGACCCTAAGCAATCCTTTAAGAACAAACATTGCAGAGAGGTGCTAACCTGTGTTGGTAGAGGGGTTTTATAATTTGGAAATTTACTATCTTGATGAAATCACAGGGCAGGCAACCATCCTTAAAAAAGCATAGTTTTGTTCAGTTTAAAGAGTAGCAAAATCTGTATATTTTAAGATATAACCAAAAATTAAGTTTTGGTTTTATGAGTTGTTAGCATTATGTGTTACTAACATTTTTTTAATAGGTTGAGTTTAAAAATAGTATTGTTAGTACCTTCAGGTAATCACTTCTGTAGTGATTGCATAATATTTGCCATGAACCTTTTTTGGGTGCTATAATGCAAAGGTTCTCTGAGACATTACTGGCGAAGAAAGTTATAAGAAGTTCATTTCAGATGTCAAGGTATGTTAATATAGGCATCACTCAAGTAATATATTGAAGTTTTTATGTCTTGAATTGTCCTATGCTATACAAAGAAAGAATATATTATATCTTAGGCACAGAAAATAGTTTATGGAGTCCTAGGTTTTAGGACAAGACCTTGAGGTTACTTTTTCCTTGCCTTACAGATAGTATTAAAACTAAGCTATATATTAACTCAGTCTTTCATTGCTACTCCTTTCTCCAGAAAGAACCATCTCTAGAAAGCCATTGCATTGTGTTAAGATTCTGATTTTCTGAGTCAGTAACATTGCTGCATAGTAGAGTGAGTAACTGGACTCAGCCAGGAGATTTGAGTGTAATCGTATTTCTAATACTTGATAAAATATTTTGTGATGTTTGGCATATATAGCTTTTTGGCTCATTTTCCTCAGCTTTAAGGTGAAGGACCCATACTTAATGATTTCCAAGGCTCTTTACAGCTTTAATTCTAAGTCTGTAAATTTAAAGATTTGTTTAACTAATTGGTTTTTTTAGAGTATAAAATTTTCTTTTGGTCAGGCAAATTCTGACCTCAGCTACTCAAAATAGGATATGTACAGAGAATGAGCTGCTGAATTTAGTTGAAAAGAATAAATACTTCTGTTCAGTGTCTGGTATTGTAATTATTTCTATGAATTACTATAAATACACTTTATAAAAAAAGTGAATTCCTTGGGGCTTTTAAATCTTTGTAGCATATTAAATTAATTACAAATTTTTCTGAAAGGCTCATCCACTCCTCTCCCCCGTAAAACTATAATAACACTTTTAATAGCTTTTTTTTGTTTTTGTTGTTAAATGAAAAATTATTTTAGTAATATGGGAAGAATTTAATTTTAATCCTAGACTATATGCTATTTTTACCTTACAGATAATGTTTATAATTTTTGTTCTTGAAGTACTAGTAAAAATTTGTCAGTTGTTGATGAGTCAGCTTTCTAGGTCCTTGGACCTCCAGAATGTCCCGGAACTCAGAAGTTACCAACCTTTTCTTTTCCCCTGTCCTACTTGGAATCTTCCCTTTCTCCTCTATTCCTCAACTTTATGTGTGATGTGAAATAAAGAAGCAACTTTTGAGCACCTATCAATGATACAACCAAGAAGATGAGAAGTCTGCATCTAAGAAGCTGTGATTAGTCAGTTGGCCTGCTAGAAAGGAGTCTTCTTGTTGGCTGGTGGTAACTGTAAAAAGACAGCTTTTAAAAAAAAAAAAAAGACCAAAAAACCCAAACTTAGATGTACTGGAGAAGCTCTTGGTGAAAAAAGTATTAACACCAAATAAGAAGAAGAGGAGGAACAGGACAGTAGACTTACTGGCAGACAGGTCATGGATGTATTGGCAGTAACAGCAGCCAGTGGACATTAGATTTAAAGAGGGATATAGGGTAAGCTGCTAGAAAGTCTTAACATTGGTGGGAGCTAATGAGTGAGGTTAAAGATGGAACAATCCTACACTTTAGGGGAAGCCAAGGCAGGGAGGACACCCACTGATAATGCAGTACTGTAGTCATAGTGTTCCTTGTTGAAGGCACTCTATTACAGTTAAAATGTTTTTTGGTTTATAACAGTAGGGGGAGCATTTATTGACACTAATATGGTCACAGACTAAGTCATTTAATACCATGTTTCACATTATATACTTTGATGATAGCAGAGAATAACTTTAGAAGTCAAGAAAGTATATTTTCTAAAGATTTTCATGGGGAAAAAACCCCACAAGATCCCTCTAGGCCCGCATTTCCTAAATTGTAACATGAGGGGTTTGGATTAGATGATTCCTGATAATCTCTTTCAGTTCTGATTTCTATTATTATTATCTGGTTGTAGTGTGAATCCTCAGTTAAATACCTAAATATTGATTATTCACAGAAAGCATTGTTTGAGGATTGCAGATATATCTTTCTTTATTAACATGCATATTTTCAGTTTAAACTATCCACAAAAGTGATTTTATGAAATAGAATTTTTTTTCCTCATCTAAATCTTGCTATTTGGTGAGAGCTTACAAATATTTTTATGATATTAAAATTTGATTGAAAATTATTTTAGTTTTTCTTATATGTGTATTATGTCTTTAAGATTCCTGGATCTCTCAGTCAGCTTCATTTCCCCGAAATCAGAAGCAACCTGGGGTGGATTCTTTGTCACCAGTGGCCTCACTTCCTAAGCAGATTTTCCAGCCTCCTTCACAACAGCAACCTACTAAACCAGTTAAAGTTACTTGTGCAAACTGCAAAAAACCTTTGCAGAAGGGACAAACTGCCTATCAACGAAAAGGATCTGCTCACCTGTTTTGTTCTACTTCTTGTCTTTCCTCCTTCTCACACAAGCCTGCTCCAAAGAAACTCTGCGTCATGTGCAAAAAGTAAGGGATATCTTCAATTTTGTTTTTTATTGAACATATAGGTGAGTAGGACATATTTTTTGGGGGGAGGGGAGCAAGCTATAGTAGAGAAATGAAGTGCACTATTGTATATATGTGTTTATTGCTGGCCAATTTCTGCCTCCCCAAATCTTTTTTTAAAATTTAATTTAATTTTTTTTGTTACATTTTAAGTTCCAAACTGTCTTCCTCCTTCATGCCCTACCCTGCGCTAGAGAAGACCATCATTTGACACAGATATGCTATGCATACTTCTATTTATCAGTTCTTTCTCTGGAGGTAGATAACATTTTTCTTCATAGGTCTTTTTGTTGTTGATTTGAATATTTATGATACTCAAAATAGCTCAGTTCAGTTATTTTTTTAAATAATATTATTGTTACTGCATCTAATGTTCTCTTGGTTCTATTCATTTCACTCTTATTTCATGCAAGTCTTTACATGTTTTTTCTAAAGTCACTGTGCTCATCATTTCTTATAGCACAGTAGTATTCCATCACAATCATATACCGTAACTTGTTTAGCCATTCCCTAATTGATGGACATCCCCTCACTTTTCTAGTTCTTTGCCCCCACAGAAAACTGCTATAAATATTTTAGAACATAGAGGTTATTTTTCTTTATTCTTGGTCACCTTGGGAAACAGACCTAATAGTGGTATTACTGGGTCAAAGGGTATACACAGTTTTATAACTCTTTGGGCATAATTCCAGATTGCTCTCCAGAATGGTTGTATCAGTTCAAAGTTTCATCAGCAGTATATTACTGTCCCAATTTTTCCACATCCCCTCCAACATATGTCATTTTCACCTTCTATTATTTTAGCCACCCTGATTGATAGGTGTGAGATGATATCTCAGAGTTGCTTTAATTTGCATTTCTCTGATCAGTAATGATTTAGAGCATTTTTTCATGATACATGTAGCTTTGATTTCTTGAAAAACTTCATATGCTTTGACTGTTCATCAATTGGGGAATGACTCGTTCTTATAAATTTGACAAAGTTCTCTGTATATTTGAGATAGAAGACTTTTATCTGAGAAGCTATCTAAAATTTTTTTTTCTAATTTTCTGCTTTCCTTCTAATCTTGGCAACGTTGATTTTATATGTATAAAACCTTTTTATTTAATGTAATCAAAATTACCCATTTGTATCTCACAATGCTCTCTATCTCTTTTATTGTTTCCAAAAGTCTTGCACAGGTGATATTTGGAGAGTAACGGTCAGAAGGACTTCTGGGGAGTTTGGTGACTTAAGCTACTTTAGACAGAGAGGTCTTTGGCATTTGGTTAGATGATGGTATGGGTAGCCCTTTTATGATAATTGGAGGTTTCTGTGTTTTTAGTTGAGTGAAGTGGATTCTTAATGGCAAATGAGATTTTATAGCTTTTTAGGGTATACATTTTTATAGACTTGATAAAATTTTGGTCTGGTATATTTAAAAAACCAGATTAGAGGAATGTACTTGGATTTTATATAAATATACATTTATTTATAAATATATTTATATTGTATATATTTGTAGTTTATGTATTTTAAAATAAATTTATAATAAAATAATATATACATTATTATATATTTATTATATATTTAATTTATTTTAAAACATTGAATAAGTTATATTAATACAATTTAGTTTTATTTTGAGAAGCATTTGCCTTACATCATGTAAGTTTTCTTTTGACTCGGGATCTATCTTGCCCTGCCATTTTAACTCAACTCAGAAGTTAAATGTAGCTTAGGTAGAAAAGAGTATATAATAATCAGTCAGGTCAGAGTGGGATCTTCCTAGATGAGTAGAGTTATTTTTAGCTCTGCATAATTTAGAAAACATTTAATAGCTGATTTCTATAAGGATCTATTGATTAATAAATTGTGCTAGAAAAGAGATGTGATGTAGCAGAAGGAACATAGTATCTGTGTTTGGAAAAATCTGGTTACAAAATCTGCTGGTTACTATCTTTGTAATCTTAGGCAAGCCAGCTGACCTGGAGGTTCAGTTTCCTCACCTGTAAAATGAGGGAGGTTGGACTCAAAGTTCTCTTCTGACTATAAATCTCAAAATTTATAGCAGCTTTTGGTTTCATCACAATATGAGGCAGGTAGCTGGTTCAATAGATAGACTGTGCCAGGCTTGGAGTTAGGAAGATCTGAGTTAAAATTTGATCTCTAACACTTAATATCTATATGTCCATGGGTAAGTGACTTAATCTTTGTTTGCCTCAGTTTCCTCACCTGTTAAAGAGGGATAATAGCACCTGTCTCCCAAGGTTATTGTGAGAATCAAATGAGATAATAATTGTAAAGCATTTAGCACAGTGCCTGGCACATAGTAAGCTTTATATAAATGTTGGCTATTATCATTTCCAACTTGAATACTATAATTTTGTATTATTTTGTACCTACAATTGAGATCAAACCTTAAAATGAATGGGTTTTTGGATATATTCCTATATAATTTTCTGATTCTAGCCAGAGGTGTATTGATTTGTATTTGCTTTGTGGAATTTTTACAGACTTGAACATACTGGCTGTAATTCATATACTCTTTCTTATCTTCAATCATATTGTCTTTCAGGACCAGATGTGTTAACCACTAATAGACATTGTGTTCACATATATTTGTAGTTGACTTAGTCTCTTTTTTTAGTACCATAAACATCTTAAAGTTGTCTTTTGCCTGCATCCTATTGGGACCCCCATCTGGTAGAGTTTAGTTGATTTGTATGAATATACATTTGAAGGTAGTAAGGATTTAATAATTTTAAAAAATAAATGATCTGTTATTAAAATATGATGTACACTTTTTTTTTTTTTTTTAGAGATATAACAACAATGAAAGGTACCATTGTTGCCCAAGTTGATTCAAGTGAATCCTTCCAGGAATTCTGTAGTACTTCATGCTTATCACTCTATGAAGACAAACAGAATCCTTCAAAAGGGCTTTTAAATAAATCAAGATGCACAATCTGTGGCAAACTAACGGAGGTTTGTATTCTGTATGTTTAAAATAGTTTTCATGATAAAAATTTTCTAAGCTCTATTTTTTACATCATAACATGTATACATTTTTTGAATTTGGTTAGCAAAGTACTGTACTAGTAGAGTCTGATGGAAGAGTTGCAGATAGATTTATCAGTACTGTGTAATTATCCACTTGGCTGAAATGAGTAACTTTTTTCTAGTTAAATATATGAATTTTACATTTTTTATTTGGGTAATTTCTTTGTAGGGGTGGGTTTATTAATATCTATAGTCTTCTTCCTCATGTCTTCACACACTTCTCTCCTCTCCCCTCCCCATATATAAGGGTAGACTGAGAAGAGTTTGGCAGCAGGGTAGGATCAGAGGGAGATTAAGCAATGATCTTGCTCAGAATTCAGGTAGAAGGACATTATCAAGCATTTAAACAAAGATGTTTTCATTTCTTAAAAACGTATGGTACATAGCAGTTCACCTTGTTTCTGGGTTTGGTGTTTGTTTTTTAAAAATTATCTCTAAAATATTTATTTTAAGAATTCTTGGTCCATTCCTCTTACTAGATCATCATTCCCATCAAAGCTAGTCAGTTGTTTGTCAATTCTGTTTCTGTTTGTGAATTATCAATTCACAAAGTCAGTTAGTCCTATGATTATAAGCATGTTAACTTTATTTGGGGGAGAGGGACGAACTCTCTAAAATGAGGAGGTTCAATTAAATTACTTCAAAAATTTTCTTCTAGGTCTAATCTACTTTGACTTTCTCTAAAGATAAGTTCTGCAGAGGAGTCACAGATCTTTTGTTCTTACATAATGTTAACTAATTTTCTTTTCTAAGTGTCACCTTAATGCCGTATTGCATTTTTCTTACAGATTCGCCATGAAGTAAGCTTTAAAAACATGACTCATAAGCTCTGTAGTGACCACTGCTTTAATAGATATAGAATGGCAAATGGCTTAATAATGAATTGCTGTGAACAGTGTGGCGAGTACTTGCCTAGCAAAGGTGCTGGAAACAATGTCCTTATCATCGATGGCCAGCAGAAAAGATTTTGCTGTCAAAGCTGTGTCAGCGAATACAAACAGGTAATTGTTCTAATATGAGTAATTTTAATTTGAAAAATTGTGAGATGAAGTAGCATATCTTTTATATCTTCATCAGGCTTATCTTGGAAATACTGAGACCCTGTTTTTAATTTAGTGTTATTTTCATTATGCCATGTAGTACAGATGTTATGTAACTATCCAAAGTTAGTCCTTAACATTTAGGTTTTTAAAATCTTCCGGTTAAAAAAGTTATGCGTAACAGAACTAAAAGATGCATATATAGAGATCACAGATGTCAGCGTTAGGAGGACTCTCAGTGGCTGTTCCTCAACATGAATTCTCTCCATAATACACCAAGTGGACACCTAGCCTTTCCTTAAAGACCTCCAATGATATTGAAAGAATAGTAGCCCTTGCCTCCAAGTTCTGAGTGAAGACAAAGACCATGTTTTAGGTTTTGAAAAGTATAAAAACCTGATTTCAGCTTAGTTAGTGTTTTAACTGCAATTGATTTAGGCAGGCATCCTTGGAAGAAGACATTCTCTACTATTTTTTTTATTTGGTTGAAAGTCTCTTAGTTCATGAAGAATTTGTAGATAAAGCTGCTTTAGGAGTAGCCTTAAGCACCCTGATAGCCTAATAAAGAGAAATTAAGGGAATGGGGAATAGTAAGGAAAATGTCTATAAAGAGTTCTAGGCTATTTCAGAGAAGTATCTTTAAGGGTAATATTTGAGCTGTGTTACCGAGATAGTTTTTATTGAAGAAAAAATAATTGTCAATTCCTTATTATGTGCTTTGCCTTTTTTGTAGTACTCCATAACATAGATCATCAAATGATCTATTGAGATAGTTTGTGGTGTGATAGGGTAAGTTAGTACATGTTTATAAAGTTAAATTAGAATTATATAAACCCAAATTAAATTAGTATAATTTTTTTCAAGAGCAGAGAGTTCTGTATAATACTGTAATTTTGTAATTTATAAGATGAAAGCAAAAAAGCAGGAAAGTTGAAATGACTTTTAGATGAAAGTTGTGGTTAGAAATAGACAAAAACCAAAACCAGTTTTCCCTCAACACTGTGTTTTTTAATTAGTTTTAGGCAAAGAAAGGCTCACTTGTAAATTCGTATCTTTTCACTGTAGATAATTGAGACAAATATAACACAGTTGAAATAAATAAGAGATTTAACACTAAGCCTTACCCTTTCTGACCTAAATGTAGAAGTTTTCTTCTTTTTAGTAGTGTAGAATGACATAGCATACATTTAAGACATGTTAGAAATGTCTTTTTCCCCCCCTTATATATACATTTCTTATTTCTGTTGAGTGTACTACCATCTTTGTACTAACCTAGGTTAGCTTTCCTTTTGTTCCCCATCCTGCCAGTTGTTAGTGGATTCTACCTGAACAACGTGTATATGGGGACCTTTCTTCTTGTCACTGAATTCCTCAGCATATATTCTTAGCAATGGAATCTGTGGACCAAAGCATATAGGCATATTCATGTCATTCCAAATTTTTTTCCAGAGTGATTGGGGTAATTCAAAGCTCCTCCCACAGTGCATTAGTGTTCCTGTCTTTTCTTGACTATTCCCATCTTTATTCTTTGCCAGTTTGCTGAGTGTGAGATGAAGCTTCACAAGCATCATGTCAGACTCAACATTTACAAACAATTCTGTCCTGCCACACTTCCCAACCAACTCACCCCTTTTTTGTAACTTACTTCTGTTGAGGGTACTGATGGGGTACTTGGTGCCTGTGCTTGGATCCCAATTTTTCCATGGCCTCAGAAACACTATCCCCTGCAGTTTCCCTCCAGCCCTCTCAAGGACCCTGTCTCTGGCAATAATTCATGAGTGGACCCAGCGAGGCAAACTATCTCTCCTTGTAATGAGAACAAGCTGACTTCTGTAGAATTTCCCTTGGATGAACAGGACTATCTTGTTCCAGCAGAACTATCAAGTACTGATACCCACAGTTACCGTATACAATCCAGAGGTCAAGCTATAGATGCCAACTTCTGAAGCTGTCTTGTTACAGACATAACAGATCAAAAACACACCCCATAGGGAAGCCCTTCTCTCTATCCTTGGTTTCCAGTAATGAATGACGTAGTTGTATGTTATCTCCTAATTGGCATACTTGCCACATAATCCACTACTTTTCCTGTGTAAGCTTTAGCATCATTCTTGTTAGGTTGCAAGTTCCCTAAGGAGCTCTGCCCACCATAGCAGGTGGGCAGAATCCTTGAGATTCCTTGCCTGCTGTATAGCACAACAATAAATCTTTGCCACCTTGACTTAAAGAATCCTCGAGTCTGTGAATTCATTCTAGACGACCCTGTCATATACTCTAGTCCTTGAGGGGTCCAAACCTCTCAGACAGCAACAGTGCTACCACTCTTGTACTTATGTAGTTCAGCTTTCTCAGAATCATCTTCAACTTTGCCCTCTGTCACTCCCTCTTATCCTACCAATTGCTAAATCTTGAGGATTCTACCTCCTTGATTCTATTCCATCTCTTCTCTTTTCGCTAGTTAGACAACCATCACCCCTGTTGAGTCTCTTATTATCTCGTCTGCACTATTCTAGTGCCTTCCTGTTGGACCTACTTGATTCAGTTCTTTCCTTCTTTCATTTCATCCTCTGCAGCTGCCACTAGTGGGACATTCCAAACTAACATTCTTCCCTTGCTCAATAAGCTTCAGTGTCTCCTTTGCCTCTAGGATAAGGTAAAACTCTTTCATTCGGCATTTACAGCCCTTCATGATCTGACACCAAGTTTTTTCTTTCCTACGTTATATATTGTTTCCATTCATATACTCTGAAGTCCACTCCAAAATGCCTTTTTCCTCTCTCATTTCCTTCCTGTCCTTCCCACCTTCCCTCCCTTCCCCACCCTTGTGCCTTAGCACAAGCTGTCATTAAATACCTATAATGTACTTAGTCTTAACTTCTACCTCTTCAAATTTTGTTTCCTTCAAAACATAGCTGTAGTACCACCCACACAAGCAAGAGCTGTCATGATCCCAACAGCTATTTCCTCTTCCTAAAATTACCTTATCTGTACTTGCTTTTTCTCCATTACAAGGTAAAATCTTTGAGGGTAGTGTCAGAGCATTTAATTTTTGTCTTTTTGTGCACAGAACTTGGCACCTAGTAGGTGCTAGATTGTATATGTAGACCTGGGATTAAAATCTTACTTTGTGATTATATTGTATCTTAGCTGCTGTTCTACCTACCTCTTTATCGTGTATTGAACTTAAGATGCTTTGATCAGTCCTCCAGAATCTTGGTTAGTCACTGAGTTGATCAACTTCCTTCAGTATTTCAAAGTTCTTTGTTTTTATGTTTTTGTTATTACTGTATTAATTGTCCTTTTGTTTATATTTAATTGCTATGAATTTAAATTCTGGTTTGTGATGCCTAAATTTATGACCAGTTATCCAGAGGGAATAATTGAAATTTTTGATAATTCTTTTTTTTATATAAACAAAATGTTTTTATCCAACCATTTTTTTTTTGTTAAGCTGAAACAAGATCTGATAGGCAATCATCTGAGGCAGCTAGGTGGTTTAGTGTATGGTATCACTGAGCCTGGAGTCAAAGACTTGAGTTCAAATATGCCCTCAGACAACTAGCTGTGTGAACCTGGGCAAGTCGCTTTTGCCTCAGTTTCCTAAGTTGTAAAATGATAGTAATAACAGCACCTACCTTGCAATGTTGCTGTGAGAATCAAATGAGATAAATATTTGTAAAGTGCTTAGTATAGTTTCTGACACGTATTAGGTGCTATATAAATGCTTATTCTTTTTACTTCCCTTCTCTTTGATATATACTGTTGCAACAGATTTAGTTTGGTAGTCATAATGGGAAGGAATTCTAAGGCTATCAGTGATTCTAGGTTTTAGAAATCATGTATTAAATTGGTAATATTAGGTTAAATGATGAGACTAGATTGCTGCACCTCCACCATGTTTTTCTTGAATGAATGACTAAAACCTATATTAAACACAGTAGGTGCAAAACACTGGGTATACAAATAGAAAAAAAGGTTCTAGCTTTTAAGGTCCTCACATTCTAACGGAAGAGAATACATTTGGAAGGTTTTAGCTGCAAGTCAAATGAAAAAGTCCCATGGTCCTTATAATTGTAGTACAAAGTAGATGACCATACCTCTTTAATTAGTCATTTCTACTGATAAAATTTTATCAGTTTCTGATGTTGAACTATTTGTGTCAATTTTGAGGGCTTTGGTGCAAGAACTTTTTTAGTGATTGTTGTTATAGATTATGTAAATAGGTAAAACTGATTATACTTAAAAATGTTAAAAGAAATTTAGTGTTCTACTTTATAACCATAGTGCTTCCTGTTTGTAATGCTAAAAGTTCACAATCTTACTATATACAACTTTTGAAAGTGTGTGTCTGTGTGTTTCTCTTGACTGAAGAAAATGAAAGATTTAGATTGAATTTAATTAGAATTAAAATGCAAAATTTTGTTTTTAACTTATATCTTAGGTTAGTTTTCCTCTTGAACATTATCATAATGTGACTTGGCCATGCAAAATGTCATTTTCATAGTCTGTGCTTGGAAGGTATTCTAATAACAAACTCTAAAGTGTCAGTAAATACTCTAGTAAATACTTTGCTGCAGCTTAAAACAAATTCTAGTTAGGTGGTTGAATGAAGTAAAGTTGTTAGTACAATATCTTTTGTAGCCTCAGCAGAAAATTGTTTATTGTTTTGTCCTTGGTAAGTAGTTTTCTGTGTTTAGGGCTGTCATTTAGTTTGATATTCTCCTCCTCTGTTCTGGAATACTATCTGGAATATTAAGACTTCTGACCTCTGTCTTTCAAGTCTGCCATCAGTAATTTGTGATGTAAAGCTGATCAGAGAAACCTGATCAACTTAAAGCAGACTCTTGAAAAGTACGATATGAGAGTGGATATATCCCAAGGCTGTGTAAAGAGAAGTACACTAGATTTTGACTCAGCAGAAAACTGGTTTCAAACCCCACCATTGACGCTTAGCAAAGTGAGATGTTACTTGCCCAAAGTGATAATTCTTGGTAAAATTGGAAGCAGATACTGTCCCTTCCTCAAAAGCCTGTATGAATTTAATTTGTCTATGCGATTATCTTGTATTTTGCTTTAGGATAGTACTTGAAATTACTTCATGTTCTCTGAATTTGAAAACATCTATTTTCTTCTTCTACCCTTTGTCCTCTTACCCCACCCCTACCCCACCCCGAATTGGCAGTTGATCTGTACAAGTTACCTTTTCTTCTTCTCTTCTTTGATTTATGGATTATTCTAATAATTAATTGCTAATTCATTTGTCACAAGTTAAAGCTGGCATCAGAAATATCTTGTGCCAAATCCTTCTACTATATTTTCCCACTTTAGCATAGCAGTATACATTCTTAGCCTTACATTGCAATAATTCTTTATTTTCCATGCTAGCAAAGTGAAGCAATGTCCTAGATCATACAATTGACCCAAAAATGACTTCTTTGATTTTATAGAAACCATATCATTTCCTTGGACAGGTAGGTGGTGCAGTGGTTAGAGTTCCAGACCTGGAAGAGTCAGAAATACTCTTTCTGAGTTCAAACCTGGTCTCAGACACTTCCTACCTGTGCGATCCTGGGCAAGTCACTTAATCCTGTTTGCCTCAGTGTCCTCATCTATAAAATGAATTGGAGGAGGAAATGGCAAATCATTCCAGTGGTCACGAAGAGTCGGGCATGACTGAAAATGACTCAACAGCGTGATTTCCTTAGAAAAAGGTGTTAGAAGCAGAGTTAGAAAGAAACATTGGAAGTATTTTGTTAATCTTAAAGATGAAACTACTCAATTATACTCTGTTTACTTGGAATATTCACAACTATTTAATGGAAGAACTAGAAATAGAACCCAGTTCTCCTGATTTGTCATCTGTTTTTCTTTTAATACTCTGTGGTGTTGATGATCATTGTTGTAATTACATTTTCTTTAGGCTAATAATTAAAGTTGGAATTTTCCAAACATAAACTAACTGGGTTTATTTGTGTGGGAGTGTGGGATAGGTCAAGGGAAATTCACAAAGCATCATGTTGAGAGTTACCTGTGTTTTAGCTGCTCTATTTACTTCCAGCTTTATTTCTTTTGTTCCAGCTTTATTTCTTCATTAGTTGGGAAGGATTACCTAAATTTGAATGGTCCAATATTAAATTCTGGCCAAATCTGATTTCTTAATCTTTTTCCAGGTAGGTAGCCATCCCAGCTTCTTGAAGGAGGTTAGAGATCACATGCAGGACTCCTTCCTGATGCAGTCAGAGGTAAGAATTCTGCTACTCCTTTACTGTATGATGTTGTTAGAATTCTTGAAGTTTAGGATGTTTTTTATCTTATTTTTATTATTTTTTCTTGGTTTTATATAATTTGTTTTTGATTAATTTCTTTGTCTAGCAAGCCATCCATTGTAACAAAGATTTTAAAAGGGTGAAAAAAAAAGCAGCTTAACAAAAATAACTAACATCAACCTTGTCTTATAACATTTTCATTGTCCCACGTTTGTTATGCCTTACCTCCGCAGTGAAAGGAGAGAAGTACATACAGTTTGTCAACTCTTCTTTAACCTCAAACTTACTACGGTTATACAGTCTTTGATTTTTTTGGTTGAAATTCCTTCATATTCCATATTAACTAAACATAAACTAAGGGCTTGCTCTGTACAAAGCATTGTTCAAACCTAAAGGGTAAATAGGAAATTTAAATATTTCTGCCTTCTTAGAGCTTACACATACATGTTAAATGATAAATTGTAACACAGAGTTACTGAGAAAGGTGCACAGCAGAAGCTGCATTTATATTCAGGAATTTAGCTGGAAAGGGAGTAAAAAAGAGTACATTTTAAGTCATATTATAGTAGAAGATTTATAGGAAATTCTGTACACTGCTTCCTTTGGAAATAGAGTGGGCAAATGATAGCTAAATTTTAAAGGACCTTGACTAAAAAGCAAAGGCATTTCAATGGGTATGCCTTGTGGAATCAGTGAAGATAACCTTAGCAGAGTATGATCTCCATATAAAAATATTATTTTGTTAACATTATAAGGAGTAGAGAGTAGAGTATGTTAGACTAGTTGTTAAGTTATGACAAGGTGTTAATAATGAAGGCCTATATCTGAGTGGTGGCATTTTGACAATAGAGGAAGGGGTTGGATTTTAGAACTATTTCATAGGTAGATTTTGTAAATGGAATAAAAATGAGAGGAAAAATAGCCACAGGCTTACCTTTATTGGATAGAGTTCTGGACCTGTAGTCAGGAAGAGTCATCATCCTGAGTTTAAATCTGGACTCAGACACTTTATTAGCTGTGTGACCCTGGGCAAGTCACTTAACCCTGTTAGCCTCAGTTTCCTTATCTGTTCAATCAGTTGGAGAAGGAAATGGCAAATAATTCTAGCATCTTTGCCAAGAAAACCCCAAAAGGGGTCATGAAGTAAAACATGACAAAATACCGTAATGGGAGATGTATTGAGAGATTGTGTGAGAATGAGCCTTGGTTGGGAGAAAAGATACCAAACTTCATTTTGGCATGTTGTAATGATGGTGCATGATTCAGGTGGAGAAAGTTATTAAGTGGTTGGGAATGCCAATCTGATGCTCAAGAGTGAGATTAGCTTTAAAAATGAGACTGAGGATAAAGGTTTGCAAATTGTTAGAAGTTAGACTTGAAGAGGTGGAAATGAGAATTGCCTATTTTAGAACAAAGGGGAGGGAGGTAAAATCAGACACCTTAAGAGCACCTACAGTAAATGTTTGGCCAAGTATGAGAGTTGAAATAAGGGAAAATTAGAAATTTGGAGAACCAGGAGCGTATGATCTATTTGAAGGTAAAGGAGGCAAAGACCTTTCTTTGGGAGGGAGTATTCAGTAGTGTCAAATTGCAGAGGAGTCAATATGAGGACTAAAAGGCCCATTGGATTTGATGATAGTCTTTCAGTGACCTTAGAGCACTTTTAATAGAATGCTAAAGACACGCTTGATAGAATGGCAGTAAGAAGTGCAGGCAGTTGGTAATAAGTAGTCTATAGACTATTTTCTCAAATTTAGCAAAGTTTGAAAGTAGCTTGAGGTGTAGAAGTGTTAAAGATTTTTCATGTCTAGGCTTATGTAAGCGAACCCGTTATTCCCAGAATGAAATTCCTTGTCCAAATAGATGACTGAACAGAGAGTGCCTAACTCATTACCCTTCCCATACTGTATATTGTAGGTTCCATTTGATATTTTTGTTTGTTGATCGAGTGGTCCTTTCCTTTGCCAGCCTAAGCTGACTCCTGCCTTCCTAGTTTCATGGTGGAGGTGGTAGGGTGAGATGTTGGATGTATTATTAGTTTTTCTCCATTTGAATGTAAGCTCATTGTGGGTAGGGATTGTTTCATTTTCCTAGCACAGTGTCTTACACAAAGTAAGCTCTTAATATTTATTAATTGTTGGGAAGGTTTGCTAAGGAAATTACTAGTGTAATTGAGATTTCACTGGGAATGTTTTAAATACTTAGTACTTTCAAAAGGTTCCTTAATGAACAGTGCTAATTATAAATCAGTCTTATCTTTAATGTTACATAAAGATCCTTTACTAAGGATTTTCAATGTTTAGCCTATTATAATAATTACTAAATATGCTTTTCATAAGTTGATTCATTTTCTTGAAAAATAATCCCTAATTCATTAGTTTCCTGTGTTGTGAATTTAAGTTTTTTCCTTTGCCATGTAGCATGAAATTATTTACCAAAATTATTGCCAGCAACCTGGGTATTATGACTGACCTTATGTATAATTATTTTGATTCAGTTATCACTCTGCCCATTGTCCATTTTTAATAATCAAGGCTGCAAAAAGTATCCATTGAATTTTTCCAATGGATTTTTCCAGTGTATGCTAGTAATAATAGCTTTACATTATTTTATTTTCATTTAGCAAAAAAATTACTGAATGAATTAGATTTACCAAACTTCAGCTTTGAGTTTTTAGCATTTCTGAAATTGAGGGCATGCAGAAGTTAACCTAGGCATTGGTGTTGTAATTTACTTCCAGGGAAATGCGTTGTAAATATATTGTATTAACTTTTGAGTTAACATTTCCATTTGTTTGTAAATAATGTGGTTAGTTTTAGTAGGTTTCTTAAATGAGACTAGAACAGCCTAATGGATAATTTTAGGAGTATCAAAATTACAAGACATAAGTATGTAGCCCCACAGTAGTATATTCTCTGAATTGTAAATTCCTTTGGGGTAAGGAGCCTGTTGTTTTTAAATTTTCTGTCTTACAGAGAGTTTAATAATGCAGCTTAATAAAATAGAGACTGAAGATACATTTTTGTTGATATATGAAAGTGTTTTCTACCATATTTCAGTTATTTCCAAATTCTCTAAACTTTGCATACTTGTTTGTTTCTCCTTTACTTGTTAATTAAATTTAATTGAATTCTGTTATAACAGAGTTGTAATGGTCTCACCATTTGACCTCCCTGGCCTTCAGTTTTTTCACTTAAAAAGTGTGAGTTAGACTAGAAGGCCTCTGAAATTCTTTTGTTCTAAATCTGTGGTCCTGTAACATAATATTGTTCTTAAAATCAGTGTTTATTTTGGATTTGCTTATTCAATTTACTGACAAAATCTTTCCATATTTAATATTCACTCTTCTTGGTAAATTCCTAAAATGGTTAGGTGTTTGCATTTTTAAACAAGGTGAATGAGTCAATTATTCTCTAAACATTTATTAAGCATCTATTATTGTGCCATGAGGTGCTAGTGATAACAAATATGAAAAAGACATCCCTGCCCTCTAGACACGTACAATGTAGTAGAGAAAGACCTTAGGTTAGCCCAATAGTAATTACTTGTTACTTGTATCTCCCCTCCTATACCCCCCCCAACCCCCACTTTCAGTTACCTAATCATCTTGTTTTGGTAGATGTCCTGATGATTCCTTCTGGGATTTACTTTTCAGTTACCAAAATACTACAAAGGGCTTTTCCTTTTTGTGTTCTACATGTGTTCCATTTTTGACAGTATTCTTCTATATTGCCATAGTTTGTGATTTCTCAAGATGAGATTTTAACCTTCACATCGTTTACTGCACATGATTTATCTAGAATATAGGAAATCCTCAACTCAGGTTGCCAGTACCAGTGTTGTCTAGTTAAAACATTGAAATCACATGATTCCATTTCAGTTTTTATATACAAGATTCTTATTACATGTGCAGGAGAAGAAGCCAGAGTAAATAATAATAATTATTTTTTTAAACATAATGCCATGGAAATCTGACACCCTACTTGATTTCTATTGTTATTGTGAATGCCCACACATTTGTTCTGCTGTATACACCTCCTTAGCATTAAACATTACAAAATGTATTTATTGTAATAATTAAACGGATTAGAGAGAATAGGGGTGTGTATGTGTATGTGTGTGTAAGGTTTGTAATGACTGTGAAGGTGATCTTTTTTAATTTGGTCACATATCTTTCCCACTTTTCATTTTGATAAGCTGACAAAATTTGGTATTTTTAATAGAATAAAAAAATTCTGAACAGTAATTTAAAATTCTTTATAGCACAGCTTTTTAATGGGGATCCATGAACTTCAATATAGTTGGTTTCCTTTGTTAATCCTATGTACTTTCTATAAGTTTTTTATTTTAAATAAAATTTTTTCTTCATTAAATTGTAAAATTTTTGCCGTGTTTGTGAACAATTTGTTTAAATTTCATCCATTTACTTCTTTAATTTTTTTTCAATCAGTGAAAATCTACCTTCCCTCCTCAACATTTCACATTCCCCCTACCCTTGAGAAAGAAAGGGAGAAAAAAAGCCCAAATATGTTAACACATGTATGTGAAACAAAACAAATTCCCACATTGGCTGTCTTTCCTCTTACCTTCCCTGAAAATGTATCTTAAGCTAAATTCTTGTGTCCATTACCCCTTGTCTTGAGTTGTGTAGCAAGCTTCATCATGAGTCCTCTGGGAGTCATAGTTGTTCATTGCATTGATCAGAATTCCTACATTTTTTTTAAAAGTTTTGTCTTTATGATGCTATTGTTATTGTATTAACTGTTCTCCTGATTTTGCTCATTCATGAATGTCTTCCTCATTTTCTCTGAAATTGTCCCCTTATCATGATTTCTTAAAATACAGTGTGTTATATCATATTGTTGTATCTTATTTATTAGAGGAAGCTAAGTGGCAACTAGGCCTGAGATCAGGAAGATTTGATTTTAGATCTGTCCTCAGACACTGTTACCCTGGGCAGGTTGCTTAAATCACTG